CTTCTGGAGGCAAGTAGTTCCACGGATTAATTAATAGAATAACAGAGTTGGAAGGGACCTTGGAGGTCTTCTAGTCCAACCTCCTGCTCAGGCAGAAAACCCTATACCATTTCAGACAAGCTGTGGGTGCTCCAGTGTTGGAGCACCCACAACTTCTGGAGGCAAGTTGTTCCACTGATTAATTCGTCTAACAGTCAGGAAATTTCTCCTTAGTTCTAGGTTGCTTCTCTCTTTGGTTAGTTTCCATCTGTTGCTTCTTCTTCTGTCTTCAGTTTTTGGGAAAATAAGTTGACCCCTCCTTTTTTTTTTAGGGTAGTCCCTCAAACATTGGAACATTGCTATCAGGTAACCCCAGTCCTTCTTTTCATTAAACTAGACATTCCCTGCAGCCATTCTTTATGTATTTTAGCCTCCAGTCCCCCAATCATTTTTGTTGCTCTTCTCTGCACTTTTACCAGAGTCTCAAGGTCTTTTTTTACATGGTAGTGACCAATACTGGATGCAATATTCCAAGCAGGGTCTTATCAAGGCCTTCTACAGTAAAGTGGCTTTAACACTTCAAGCAATCTTGATTCTATCCCTCCATTAATGCAACCTAGGACTGTGTTGGCTTTTTTGGCAGCTGCCACACACGGCTGGCTCATATTTAAGCTATTGTCCACTAGGACTCCAACGTTCCTCTCACAGTTACTGGTATTGAGCCAGGTAGCACCATTCACAACAACTGTGGCAAGAAAAGTGTAGAATGGAGCAAAATTCACTTAACAACTCGCCCAAGCAACAGAAGATTTGGGCTCAATCATTTTCCAAAGCTGCAAAAGACAAGACAAGAAACAATGGATGGAAACTAATCAAAGGAGAGAAGCAACCTGGAATTAAGGAGAAACTTCCTGACAGGGAGGACAATTAATCAGTGGAAAAGCTTCTCTCCAGAGGTTGTGGGTGCTCCAACACTGGAGTTTTTAAGAAGAGATTAGACAGCCATTTGTCTGAAATGGTATAGGGTTTCCTGTTCAAGCACGAAGTTGGACTAGAAGACCTCCAACGACTCTTCCGACTATATTATTCTAAGTTCTATGGGTCAGCTAAGTTGTGGGGATGGTCTATCACAGGGATAGGCAACCTTGGCTCTTTTATGACTCGTAGACTTCAACTCCCAGAATTCCTGAGCCAGCCATGCTGAGAGGAAAGGGAGAGGTTTCCAAGCTGAGCCATTCTGGCTCAGGAATTCTGGGAGTTGAAGTCCACGAGTCATAAAAGAGCCAAGGTTGCCTACCCCTGGCCTAGGAGGCTCACTGCTTAGAACAGGAGGACTTAGGACAGGGGTAGGCAACCTTGGCTCTTTTATGACTCGTAGACTTCAACTCCCAGAATTCCTGAGCCAGCCATGCTGAGGGAAGAGGGAGAGGTTTCCAAGCTGAGCCAGGCTGGCTCAGGAATTCTGGGAGTTGAAGTCCACGAGTCATAAAAGAGCCAAGGCTGCCTACCCCTGCTCTACCACTGTCTCCTCCAAGAAAAGTGCTGCAGCCCTTCAGCTGGTCATAGTTTACAGCGGTTCTTCAGGCTTGGTGAGAAGGTGAAGCCAATGACCCAGGTCCTTCTTTTTCTACGGGGTGAAAGATAGGTTGATGTCCCTCTCCCCACAGAAGCTGAGCACCTCCCCCAGGCCCCATTCCCCCCTTCTCTAAAGCTCTTTTCTCCCTGTCTGGCACAGATCCTTCTTCAAAGGACCTGGAGGCCAATTGTGGGAGAGATGCTTCTGAGAAGGAAAGTCTTGCTAGAAGTAATTCAAAGGAAGAAGCACCGAAAGCTTATTTAGCTGGAGGGGGAGAGGAAACTCATTTTCACAGAATCAAACAACCTGAGAATTGTACATTTGAACAATCTCATCCTTCCATTAGAGAAATCTCCCCATTGTTCCCTTATGTAACTCATTTTCTTAATAAATCGTGCTGGGTATGGGATGAGCGTGCCTCTGGCAGCAGAACAATGGGGTCCCCGCAATTTGCAGTTGAGGCAAGTATTTAAAACACTCCAGCGAATATAGAAATCTCCAACCATCGAGGAGTGACATGCAAGCAGTCCCGGAGGCCTCAAAGACCTACAAAAGGGGGCATGGATTGGCTGGCCAAGGCTTCGCTTATAGGCCCACCAGATCATAAGCAACATCTTCTTCTCTCCCTCCTTCTTTCCCCTTTCCTCTCTCCCTCCCTCTCCCTTTCTCTCCCTCCCTCTCTCTCTCTCTCTCATTTACTCAGGGGCATATGTTACCCGGTGCCCTCAGTTTTCCTCCGTCTCTCAGCATGGAAAGGGACAGAACCCTGGAGCTTCTCCATACCCAACTCCAGATCCTGGAGATACCATGAAGCTGGAGCATGAAACAGAGGGAACCGCTAGCCAAGGACCCACCAGAAGCATGGGTTTTGCAAGAGATGGGAAGAGTCAGAGGAGACTCTGACACCACCCTTGGCTGACTGGGTCACTCTCCCTTTCTTCTTCTCATTTCCACCTACAGGAATGAGATCAGCAAACACTGACAAGGTGCAGGTAGGGTTAGGATGAGAAAATGCACCCAAGAGGGCCCACCCATCCCCTTCCCATCTTCAGTTGCAGAAGGGTCCCAGTCAAAAGCAATGAGAGAGTCTAAGGGGCCCAAATGGCTGGGCTGAGGCCCGGAGGATCCTCCTCTTTTGAGAAGACTGCACATTTGCTCTCTTCCCATCATCATCCATCCAGCATTTCACCAGAGCTTGGAGCAGTCGTGTGGAGGCAGCCTCACGGTGCGGCTCTCCAAAAACGGATGGCTGGCAGGGTTGATGAGCCTGTCGTGCACACCAGGGGAAGGTCCTGCTGCTCCCCCCCCCCCAAGAGCCGAGGTGGCACAGCAGTTAGAGTGCAGTACCGCAGGCCACTTTAGCTGACTGTGTTCAGCAGGTCAGTGGTTCAAATCTCACCAGCTCAGCCTTCCATCCTTCCGGGGTAGGTAAAATGAGGACCCAGATTGTTGGGGGCAATGTAAATATATATATACATTGCTTACTGGTGTACACCGCTTAGAGAGTGCTTGCACTTAAAGCGGTATATAAGTCTCATAAAATAAATAAATAAATAAATAAATAAACCCCCCTAGAGGCCAGGCCCTTCCGAGGCAGGGCTCCTGGTCACACCAGCCTCCGGAGAGGGTAACCAGAGGCAACTTGTGACTCAAGATTGCTTTTCCCTCTGGATGGCTCCCACTCCTCCTTCTGGCATGCTGTGTCCAGCTGCCTCTCCTCCTCAGAATCCGGGGGAGGGGTCTCCCAACTGAAGAGGGCAGCCCCCTGATTTCCAGAGGCACCATGGGGGTCCACCTGACTGCATGTGGTTTAGACCCAGTTCCCTGCTCCCACACAACACACCTTCACAGAATAACAGACTAGCAGAGTTGGAAGGGACCTTGGAGGTCTTCTAGTCCAACCCCCTGCTAAAGCAGAAGAGTCTACCCCAGTGGTGGTGAACCTATGGCACGCGTGCCAGGGCGGCACTCAGAGCCATATCTGTTGGCACGCGCGCCACCACTGCCAGCAGCAGTTCCATCAGGCCACCACCGCCACCCGGAGCAGGAGCCCCACCAACCATTGTCAATTGGTGGACTGGAAGAAAAGGGAGGGGGAAGCATTTTACATATGTGCATGTGTGCACGGGGCCTCAAGCAGGCACGTGCTGCAAATGGGGCGGGGCTAGTGCCTGTATGATACTCACTAACCCTGTCCCATTCTTGCATGGTACAGTGTTGTGTATCTGCACCCTGCAGTATGGCAGCAGCCATTTTTGCGCCTTGCAACATAGTGGCCCATTTTTGCACCCCCAGTTTTTGCATGCCAGAGGCAGCACTCAGAGGCGCCTCCCTACCCGTCCCCCCCCCCGTGGGCACCACAATGCTGATGCGGCCCTGGCACTTTGCAATAAATAAGTGGGTTTTGGATTGCGGTTTGGGCACTCGGTCTTTAAAAGGTTCGCCATCACTGGTCTACCCCATTTCAGACAAGTGGCTGTCCAGTCCCTTCTTAAAAACCTCCAGTGATCATTCACAACTTCTGGAGGGAAGCTGTTTCTTGGGCACCTGGCACCAGCTGGCCAGGAGAAGCAAGCCTGACAGGGACACTAGGTAAAAGGTAGGGGGGGGGTGGGTGTGAGAGGGAGGGAGGGAGGGAGGGAGGGAGAGAGAGAGAGAGAGCATCTCAATATGTCCTGCTCCATGAGTTAAGAAGGTAACAAAAGGGATCCATCTGCTGAATGGCAACAAGGACACTTTTTCTCTGCCCCATAGCAACCAGTCCTCTTGGCCTGAGGGGCTGGTTCTGGGGGAAAAGATGGGGAGCTCCAGCTGAAGTCCCAGCCATCCAGGAAGGGGGGTGGGGTGGGCTCTTCCCCTATCCAGGACAGGACATGTCACTCCTAAGGAAAGTGGGAGACGGAGAAAGCAATTTCACAGGACAGGGAACCTGGAGGGCTGTGGGACTATTTGCACCTCCAGAGCTTTGGGGTCAACCAGGACGCCTGCAGCCCTCCCCTACCTCCTCTTAGGAGCCAGAGTGTGGGTGGAGGGGGGTGTTTTTCAAGAGGCCACAAGGAGGGCTGAGAGCACAACCCCCTGATGTGGGGGGCAGCCTGCCAGCACCGTCTCTGACTGGCGCCAGATGTGGGAGCCAGACCTACTCAGCCAGGCGGAGAGACCCCCGCCCCAACTCAGGCCCATGCCATTAGAAGGGCTGAAAAGGCTGGAGTTTGCCTGGCGTTGCTTGGTGTGAAGACTAGCAGGACGAGGGCGGACCCTTGCGGGCCGAGCTCTCCAGCTCCTTCCCCACCCAACGACCCCGGAGGAAGGGAGAGAGCCTGACCTGACCACCGACCACCGTCTGCGGAGGACCTGGCCATGCGCAAAGCGGCGCTCGGGGACCGGCTGGCCACTGGGGGGGGGGGGTCGTCCTAACGGAGGTCGCAGCCCCTGCGGGGGCGGAACCTGAGCGAGCGCGGGGCGGGGCTTCTGCGAGGGAGCTTCCCGCGGCTGCGGTGTGGTTAAAAGCCGCCGGGCGGCGCGGAGCCGGGCAGGCGGGCAGGCGAGGGGTGCAGGGGCGGCGGCGGATCCTCCTCCTCCTCCTCCCTCCTCCTCCTCCTGGTGGCAGCCTCGAGCTCCGGGCAGCGTCCAGCCAGCCACGCCTGCCCTCCTCCCCCTGCGGCAGCCCCTGCGGGTCCCGGGCAGCGCAGCTTTGGGGCCTTTCCCGGAGGAGGCAGCGGCGGCGGGATGGGCTGGAGTCGGGCAGCTTGCTAGGAGAGGAGCTGGCGCGGTCGGACAGCCTCAGGTGAGCGCTGAGGGCTGGGCTGGGCTACGGCGAGATGCGGGCTCCGGCCACCGAGGCACGGAGCGGGGGGGGGGGACGGATCGGGAAGGCTGTCTAAGGCGGAGAGGGGGAGGTCTGGCGAGGAAAGGCGCTCCCGGGCGAGGGGCAGCCAGGAGGAGGCAACCCAAAGCCCAGGAGAAACGCCCCCCCCCGCCCCTGCCTTCTCCGCAGAAGAGAGCCTTCCGGGGTGCAGTGGGGGGGGGGAGCTGGAAAGCAGGAACGGCAGGACTCTGGTGGATGGTTCCCTCGCCCGGGTCGATGAGACTCTCGCCGCGAGATGTCCCGCATCCCCTGACCTGGGGGTAGAGTCCAACGGCCTCCCTCCCCCCGCGGACCCAAAATGATCAGGTCGAGCCCCCCCCCCACATACACACGGGCCTCCGGGGCTCCTGGAAGGCGGTGGCCCCTGGAAGCTTCGCGGGCGATCCGGGAAAGCCGAGAGATTCTGCCACGCAGCTGGAGGGGCTGGCGCGTCGCTGCCACCGGCTCCAGGGCACCTCCGCATCCCGCAGCCCTAGCAATGCTCTCGATATCGGGGGCGTGGGGGGGGCGTCCTGGTCTCCCCACCTGCGGGCGGGCGGAGCAGGCGAGCCCCGAAAGGCGACGCGGGGTCCAGCCATGCGGGGCAATAGAAGAAGCTGCAGGCCGAGGGCTAGGTGTGTTCCCCCCCCCCGGGTCCCTGGGAGAGAGCAGACCGTGAGCTGCTTCACGAGCTGGGGGGGGGGGGAGGCGAGAGCGGCAGAGCCGGTTCTAGGCTCTCTTCCAAAGTGCTCGGGGCTGCGGGGGGGGGGCGGGAGGGGCGAGACACAAGCCAAGAGGTGATGCAGCAGCAGCAGCAGCAGCAGCCCATCCGATGCAAAAACAAAACCCGGCGCCGGAGCCCTGGGTGGGATGCGATGAGTTCAAAGGCCCAGCCCAGTCTAGGTTGTATCTACACAACTAGATGCCTCCAAAGCTGAGGAAATTATTCTTCTCTGCTGGGCACCAAAAGAACCCCTTGGAAAATGGCGCATGGGCTCCCTGCCATGGGAGATCCCGCCCTTGTCTGGGGAAAAGGTGTCTGGTGGGCAAAGGGGCTTCCTCATAGCCGGGACTCACCTGCGCTGAAATCCATCCTCCAGGTGGAAAAGGCTGGGTCAGCCCGAGAGGAAGACTGGAGAAGCATATTGGGACGTGTGCAAAGAGGCTTTTGCTCCCCTGGACTTGGGAGGTGTGGGGGGGGCGTGCGCTTCCTGGTTGCTAAAATGTGCCGTTTGTGTTTATTGTGTTAGAAATCACTGATCACCTAAGAAGCCTTCTTGTTAGGACGTCAGGACTCTTTTCCTGCCGGAGGGAGGGGGACAGAGAGGAGAGGAATGGACTCCGGTGTTGTGAGTCACTGTGGATCTGGGCCTCTGTTCCCAACACCTTCAGAAAATGCTCTTTGGAGAATCGTTTGTGTGATAAGAACGCATCTGGCATCTTTTGGGGGGGGGAGGGTATGGTGTGGCCGACGAGGCATGCAACGGTTGGCATTCCAATGGTTTTACTGATTTATTTGCCAGGCAACTCTGGGCAGTTCAGCAGGGCTAAAACCATCCAGGCATTGTAAGTGAACCAGCACAGACAGATGGGATGTGCCAGGGACCATCACTCCCATCGCCTCCCCCCCTCTCCATATTGGTGGCTCGCCAGATGTGCTGGTGCCCCGAGGGCAGCTTTGCTGAGCCAAAAGACAAGTAGACAGAGACGGCCACACCCACCCAGGCCAGCCACATCTCTGCCCTTTGGCTGATCTCATATACTTTGACATCTCTTCCGCCCTCAGCTGGCACTCGGAGGTACCAGAATCCCTCAGTCCGTCTAGGACTAGGTGAATCGGGAGAGGGCTTGGGAGCATCTGCAGAGCCCTTTTGGATACTTTTTAAGATTCCCCTAACATTTTTAGGACGGTGCAGCAATTTATTTGTTTTATTAATTTTTTTTATGCTGCCAAATCTCACTGATATGGCAACTCTGAGTGACTCACGATATAATTAAAAGTAAAAAAAAAAGGTAATGCAAGGAATTAAAATTAGGAGAGTCAAATAGAAAGCCTAGAAACCAAGATGATCGTGGACAGCCTGGAGGTGGGGATCTTCTCTATCAGATCAACCACCCTCAACAAAGCGGATCCCTGCAGGGGCCCCAGACCAAGTGGCAGAGAATAGGGTCAGATCTCACTTCCAGAATGAGAATATCTCCGAGGGTGGGGGCCACAGCAGAAAAGGCTCTTCCCCTGAGGCCCGTTAGCCAAAATTCTTTAGCAGGTGGGATCTGCTCCTTCCATTGGAACAAGTGGGGCAGGCCAATCCCACTGGAGTCAGACAGCTCCTCCAAAACCCTGGACCCACACCAGGAAGGACGACAAAAGACCGACACCTTGAATTGGAACTGGAAGCAATCCCTTAACACCCATTAAGATACACATAGTGGTATGGCACTCTCTCCCCCTCCCTCTCCTTCCATTTGGGGCCACCTCCTTGCTGAAAGTGGCACAGTCTACCCTCCCTCCCAACCCCCCCCCCTCCTCTCTACTTCCTCCACCAGCCATCACCATCCAGGTGCTGAGAACCTAAGTGGGTGTAAAAGTACAGTGGGCACATGTGCCTCTTTCACTCCCCCCCTTTGAATGTGGGGCTAATGGGCTGGCAGTGGAGGGGAAGGAGGTGTGGCCACACCACTGCTAGGCGTTTGGGACGTGGATATTGCTGCTGCTGTGGGCAGAAGCCTGGCGCAAGGCTTCTTCGAGACTCGCCTTGCCTGGCCCCCTTTTTGCCCGTCGCTGTTTTTGGTGAACGGAGAGCAGGGCACACCTACAATGTGATGCCCAACTCACAGCCCCTCCAGTCCAGGTTTGACTTAATCTGATCAGGAGAGTCATCTCACTGTTGTTGAAGCAATATGACTAGGCGGATCTCTTGGGAGGCTGGCAAAGCAAGGGCAGCCCAGCACTCAAGGCAACCTCTGCGCTCCCCACTGATCTGCCTAAGGAGTTTCCACCTTTTAAGCAGAGATGCCTTGAGGAGCACCCTCTCTGAGCACTCTGGATGGACAGCCCCAGCCCAGTGTGTGTAGGAAGAGGAGGGAGAAGAGGGCTCCCTTGGCATTCTCAGGGCATGACTGCAGGATCAGCTCCAAAGACAAGTCTGCCTGTCAAGTCTAGGGACCAAGGTGATCTCTAATATGTTTGTAACTCAGGATTTGTAGCTAATATGTTTGTAGCTCAAGGTTGAAATGAGGAGTCCTGGGTGCTATCTGAACTTGGTTGTTTTCTTGCAGACGTTTGATGACCCAACTAAGGAACATCATCAGTGCTACAAGGGAGTGGGGTTTGTGGAGAGGAGGAGGAGGAGGAGGAGAAGGAGAAGGAGAAGGAGAAGGAGAAGAACTTATTTCATGACCCAACTAGGGAACATCTTCATCACTGATGGTGTTGCCTAGTTAGGTCATGAAATGTCTGCAAGAAAACAACCAAGCTCAGAAAGCCCCAAAGACACCTCCCCTCCCCTCAAGAAGGTCTCTGGACTAAGCTTAGAGCTGGAGGGACCTCTGAAGGAGGTAGAGGGATCTCAGCCTGGAGCACCCTAGGGAGGAAGAGTCTGTTCCTTGCAGGGGAGGATGGATCCTCAGACAACATCTCCTGGAACTTGGGTCTTCCTGCTTCGTGCACCCTTCTGTCCCATAAAAGGACTCCCGTCCCCATTTGTGGCTGTGGCTTCTGGCCAATGGCATCTCCCCAGGGTCCCTCAGGCATCTAACAGAGGGAAGGGGCTCTGTTCTCTCTGTTAGCGCTCTGCTTTCCAGAACGACAACATCGGGACTCATTAATTCATCTTTGAGAGCAGTGGTTCTCAACCTGTGGGTCTGGACCCCATTTGGGGTCGAACGACCATTTCATGGGGGTCGCCAAACAAGGCTGTCCTCCATTTTTTTCCCCCTTTTCTTTGGCCACGCCCCTGGCGCCCAGTGATGTATAAGTGGTTGGGGGTCACCACAACATGGGGAACTGTATTATGGGGTCGCGGCATTAGAAAGGTTGAGAACCACTGGTTTAGAGGTTTGGTACTCGAAGGCAGACTCAGCTGTATGTCTCATGCTCTCCAACTTCTACATCTTGCAATGACATTTGCAAAGCAGGTTTGATTCTTGTTTGCCAAATGAGTCACCTGTAGTTGCTCCTCTGGGATTGCAGCCATCAAAAACCCTCGCCAAACATCACGGCACCGGCTTTCGCATCCACGCACACATCTGCTCTCTCAGCAGGTGGAGGGGAGGCCAACTCGCACCTTCCCTGCCTGCTCCTCGTGGCAGCCCTGGCATCCAATGGGTGCACCCTATCCAGCGCCACTTGGCTTGCATGAGCGTTTCCTGGATTCTGAACCTTTCCAAATGGGTTTAAAAATGGAGAACTGTGTTCGTTTCATTTGAACCCCATTCTCAGCTGCCTGAATGTCGTGGCATAAGTGACAGGCCCTTATGGGCAAAGAGAAGGGGGCCAACGGCAGCAGTGGCACTGGGCTGGACAGCCGCCATGGCTCAGCTGGCGATGTCAAATCCAGGAAGGTCCACTGTCAATCAGAAGGAGAACGAATGTTTTTAGCAGATACAAGCATTTCATAGACCTCACCTGCCAAACCGTAGAGGTGGGATTCTGGGTTTCCCTGGCAACCAGAGAAAGAGAGCCAATTGCACCCAAATGCAGTGCAGTTCACAAAGCAGGAGGGGGGGGCAGAGAATGCCGAATGAGGGAGGGGGCCTCAAAGAGCAGCTTGTGCAAGCTCTTGGTGTGACTGCAAATGAGCTGAGCATCCCCAGATTAAGCAGGACTCGCTTATGGGAAGGGCAACATGGCGGGGAGTGTATCTATATGCATGGGTGTGGGCACTGGGTAAAGGCCTGAGTGCATGAAGAAAAAAAATTGGCATGGATTGGGTCGAAAG